CGTCACACTCTCCCTCCTACAACATTTGGAGCAGCTGAAGTATCCACTATGATACTTTGTGAGTGTTAAGAAAGCTCTTGCAGGAGCATCGCATATAAAAGAACTAATGACAATATTAATTTTTTTTTCATTAATATAATACCATTTTTAAAAATCTCTTTTATATCTTCGACGAACGGAGAGATATAAAAATTAGCATCTTCAGGCTTAGAAAATCCGTGATAAAGACCGACTATAAACGGCTCCGTATAGAAATTAGCTTTAATAGCCACTAGTATTGGCCAAAATTGACTTTTCGATGATTTGGAAAATGAYTTCCCGTCACAATTTATTTGAATAGAAATAGTATTAGGAATTTCAAGAAAATATTTTTCAATCGAGCGCTTTAATCCAGAAGTGATCCCAAAATAGATATATGCACCCCCATTGACATGAATAATTTCTCCAGTAGCATGTCGAGGTGTTTTCATTAAGCTTCGTACATCCTTTTTCAGTTCTTCATTGTGCTCATGTTTCCTTAAAATTTTAATTAAACTATTTGCAGCCCGCTGTGAAATATTATTTTGAGTAAACCAAATACGCAAGTCTGCTTTTAAATCATTTGAAGTATTAACGTCATCAATTTTATCAATTTCATTTTCGGATTCACGTAAATAAATTTCTTCAGTCCCGTCAACATAATTAAAATCATCTAATGAAAAAATTTGATACAGATCTCTTTCATTTGATTGATTACCACAGAAATCTTCTTGGAAATTAACGTTTTTTTCTTGGAGAGTCGGGTCATAATAATAATAATAATAATTATTATTATTATTATTATTACTATTATTATTATTATTATTATTGTTATTTGCTGCTTTGAATAGTTCCCTCCCCTTTTGATTTTCTGTTATATAATCATCATGAGAGTTAATCACTTTTTTTAACATTTCTCTCGCTAGTTGGTATTTCCTTCGTCTTGAAAGATATCGAACTTCTTTTCCCATATCGGTACCTAAAAATTACGGAGGATAAGCAATCTAAAATAAATTTAAAAAATTGGAATTTCATTAAAATAAAATTGTGGGACGAGCGCCTCCATGCCAAACTTATCGGGCATTCGTGACAGAGATTGGTTGGTGGGCCCTGGATAGCTGAATTGGTTAGAGAGCAGTCACCCAGAAAGCGAAAGATCTGTGGTTTGAATCCCGGTCCAATCAGTCCAGCGGTCCAATTTTTTTCACGAATCCCACAAAATTAGTATAGTTTCAATATTTAATAAATAAATGAAGTTTCTGCGGTTTTATAAATGACTTCGTTACCAAATATTGAATATTAATAAATATCTATATGTAGTTGTAAATGATGAGTACATGATACCTACGACTTAATCACAGGAAAAATTTAAATTAATTACGTACTTGATATTAGGTTATTACGTTACACTTTTTTAACCGTTTTAGTGCCAGGGGTTTTTGAAAATCTTTGTCGGAGTGTGCTATGAAGCGTGATAGCTCGCATTCGTCATTTATCTGCGAGTTATGCCGATCGATGCGATCGCGTTGCTAAGACACATACAGTTGCATGCAAAATTATCCGGCCAAACATAATTTTATCATTTAGTATGGTTTAAAAAATGCAGAATGAAAACTCAAATTTATCATTGTAAATAGTTATATATAATTTTCTAATTACATGGTTTTATAACAAAATAGAAATACTTTACGATGATATATTTGTATTTGCATTTTGCAACCTGTATATGTTACATAATCAAAAAATTATATTTGGCCCGATAATTTTGCATGCAACTGTATATGTCTGTATAAAGCGTGTTACGAATTGACGATCGCGAACAAAAGAGCGAAACGTCTTACCACATCACTCGAAAAGCGTGATCACCTCGCGTGGCAACAAATGTTTGTATATACAGTCAACCCTCCTATAACGCGGTGAGTGCGTACCGCGTTATATGGAAACCGCGCTATAAGAAACTCGGATTTAACCGTACAAACCAGGCTAATTCGTAGCGCGTTCTATGGAAACCGTCTACCGCGTTGTATGGAAACCGCGCTATAAGAAACGCAGAATTAGTACAAATCACATCATTCGTACCGCGTTATATGGAGACCAATAAGGACAAGATAAATTATAAATTATTTTTATTGAATTGAAGAGTTTATATAAAGAAATGATACCAAAACTAAACTAAAAAACTGTT